AAAGTCGGACGCTTAACTGACTGCGCCACCCAGGCGCCCCTGTTGATTCACCTTTATTTATTTTATTTTATTTTTTAAAAGATTTTATTTATTTGACAGAGAGAGACACAGCGAGAGAGGGAACACAGCAGGGGCAGTGGGGGAGAGAGAAGCAGGCTTCCCGCCAAGCAGGGAGCCCAATGTGGGGCTCGATGTGGGGCTCGATGTGGGGCTCGATCCCAGGACCCTGGGATCATGGCCTGAGCCGAAGGCAGACGCTTAACGACTGAGCCACCCAGGCACCCCGTTGAGTCACCTTTAAAAGCAGTGCCCAGAGCTGCCTGTGCTGAGAACAAGGAATAAGTGTGTGTGGAGGAAGGAAAGAAACAAGAGAGAGGAGAGAAAGGAGCAGGGAGAGGGAGAAAGGGCCAAGACCTGTTTCGTGGAGGGAGGGGTAAGGGAAGGCAGCCCCTGAGTTCTTTTATTCAACAAACGTTTCTCTGAGCGTGACTGCGCAGACGCTTCCCCAGGCGCTGCGGTCCACACCTGTTGGCCTGGGCATGCTGACTCTGTGATGGCAGCCCCTGCCCAGCTGCCAGTGCCCTGCCCCCAGGAGGCTGTGTCCACACTAGCGAGGGCTGTGGGCTCTGTGGTCTGGGGGGGACCTGAGTCCCTAAAAGCTGTGTGCCCTTGGACAGGTTATGTGATGTGCTTGAGCCTCAGCTTCCTCATCTATAAAATGAGACGAAGAAGAGAAATAAAATATGTCTGGTGCACAGCAGGGGATAGTGCAGGGTGAGATGTGGCCACGGGATGGAGAGAGCCAGAGCAAGCTTTCCTCCACCCCCTTCCCGATGCAGCTTCCTGCACCCTGACCTGCTCCTCTGCAGCGTCTCTCTGCCCTGGGTCACAACCCCCCCCCCCCCCAAGCCTGGCTGGGCTCTGGTGGCTGAGTGTCCTGAAGTTCCTATAGCCACTCAGTAGATGGGCACCTGCTCTGGGCAGCACCAGACTACTGGGAGGCCAGGTCCAGGGCCCTGCAAAGGCAACACAGGAGTGTGAAGAGCGGGGTGGTGAGAGGGGCAAGGAGCCAGGCCTTGCTGGCTACCCCTAGTAGCCAAGTGAGCTCAGTGGAGGCCAATCCTGGGGCCTGGGGCCTTTTCTTTTTCTCTCCCAGAGCACACCTGAGTCCAGCTTCTCGACGGGAATCGACATGAATTATAATTGTTTATCCTTCCCCCCAACCCCCTGCCGCCCAATACAAATGTCAAGGGAGTGTACAGCAGTGGAGGGGACCATGGACCTGGGTCCCAACTCTGTCCCTCATTCCCTGTGGCATCACGGGTGAGCTGTTGATTCTCTCTGAGCCTCGGTGTCTTCCGGCGTAAGGATAAGAGGCCCCTCTCTCCCCTGAGGAGTGAGCACTGTAATTGTTATCAAGTGCTTCTCGGGGCCTGGCGCTCGGTAAGGGGCTGATGTTAGCTATCAGTAAGATGAGAGAACACAGAGTGTCCAGGCCTCTTTATCCCATGTTGCAGGGAGTCCTTAGAGGAGAATTCTGGGGTGATTGCCCCCTCTGCTCCCCCGGCTCATCTCTCCGAGTACTGCCTGCCCATGTGCCTCTCCCCAGGCCCAGTGGACAGCAGTTCCTCAGGGCCTCCCAGGCCCTGGCACTAGGACACCAGGCTGGGTTCCCAAGGGTCCAAGTCCAGGATGGGTCCCCGGGTGGGAGGCAGTGGGGAAGGCAAGTCGGTGGGACTGTCAGTCAGGACTCACACCCACGACACCCAGCCAAGCTGGAGGGAAAACCAAGTTGCGCTCCAAAGGACATTTTCAGAAATGACCCGTTGAGAAACTCAGAGAAGCCCTACTAACGTGGAAAGCGGGGAACAGGGCCCCCAAGGGGAGAGGCAGACTAACAATCACACTGCCACCACCATCAGTAATAACTCTCTGCCGGCCCCACAACTAATGTCTGATGTGTTATCTCCTTTAATCCTTCAAACAACTGTGTGAAGGGATTGTTATTCCCTTTTATGGAAGAGGAAACAGGCTCAGAGACATGGTGTCTTATCCAAGGCAACTCAGACGTGGAGCCAGAACTCAAACCCTTGCTCTCAAAGACCACAGCGAAGCTTCCTCTGGATGCCAGAGCGGAGTCACGGCCCCGGGAGATGGGGAGGCCGGTGGGCACAACCCATCCTTCCCGTCTTGTGACTGAGGCCCTGCTGCATTGTCACAGGGGGGCAGCAGGCTCGGGCAGGCGGCGCTGAAGGACGGCACACAGCCACCTCCGGGGCCTGGACTCCCAGGGCAGTGCCCCCTCCAAGGCAGATCTTCCAGCTGTGACTTCCCCTCCCCTTCTGGACGACTCTGGCAGCTGTCCTCAGGGATGCCATGGCCCCAGGGGAGGCCCCCAGCCTGGCTGGGGCCCTCAAGCTCGGGGAGGGAACTCGGTTCCTCTCAGTGACCGGGGACTCTGGTGGTTGTGCGTTTTCCTTTGGTGCCCATAGTGCCTGCAAAGCAGTGCTGGGCACCCGCCTCAGGCCCGCCTGTTTCTAATTCATAACTGCTCTAAGCCTGCAGCAGCCCTTTGGGGCTTTCGGCACCAAGCAAGGACCAAATCTGCTTTTCTCTTTCCTGGGGTTAGTCCCGGGTAGCCAGTAGAAATCACGATCTCTTGCAGGCCAGACTCCTCCCCCTCCCCACCATGTTGCCCGTGGTGCTTGGCATGGGGCAGCCTGGTGCAGACGGTAGAGTGGCCCCAGACTGGGCTGGAATCCACTCCATCACTTCCTGCTGTGGACCTTGGCCAAGTGACCTGACCTCTCTAAGCCTCAGGGACCTCATCAGGGAAAGGGGATAATGAGAACTCTTCCTCCTAGGGTTGGCATGCAGGTAAAGGGGCTGATCCGTGAGGAGTGTACGCTTAGCCCTGGGCCCTGGGCCCCAAAGGGGCGGAAGAAATGAGAGCGCTCACCGTTCAAGACAGAGCCGCCTCTGCGCAACAGCCTGGCCTGAGCACCCTGTTCGAGGCAGACCTCTCATTTTTTTCTGACTCACAGCACCCTGTTCTTGTTCTTCAAAAGCACTCAGCCCAGTTTGTAATTATACACATGTTTGTTTACTTGTCCATGAGAGCAGGGACCGTCTGTTTCCCAGCGCTCAATCCCGAGCGCCAAGGACAGGAGCACAGCAAATGTTGCGTGAATGAATGACACTCCTTTCCCGGTCTTCAGGCAGAGGAGGACTAGGGCTCTTTGCCTTTTGTCAGAGGATTGGACTTTCAGAGCCCCCCTATATTCCTCAGCCTTCTTTCAGAGATGATCCTGTGGCGGCTACAGCTGGGAAGGGCTGGGTGCTACCACTCCTGTCTACACCACACAACAGCCGGGTCAGAGGAGCTGGGGGGACCGCACAATAGGGTCTCACGCACACCTTGTTGGCCGTGGTCCTTGATGGGTGATGGGGACGTTCTGGGACTGCTTCTGCCCTGCCACCTATATCTGCGGCTGTTTGGTCTGGGGCCCCAAAGCCACACTGAGTCTCCACCAGAGCCCCTTGTCGGCCATGTCACCTGAGGCCGGGCCTGACTTTCAGGAGAGGCCTCTCTGCCTCCCTTTTTCCTCCAGTCCCATCTCCTAGGTCTCTCCTGCCTTCTGCCCTCAACTGAGACCAGGGCCCCCTGGCCTTGGCAGATGTGTGAGGCTGGGGGAGGCACTTTGAGTCCAGATGTGATTGTGTTTATGTTTCCAGAGTGAGGGGTTTCCAGAGAGTGAGGGGTCAGAGCTCTGGACTGGAGCCGTTGGGGGAGGGGTGGTCTGGCTCCAGCCCCCTGCCCCAGCCTTCCCTCCCCCCACCTCCCTCCTCTGGCCTGTGTATCTGGCCCTTTCCTCAGAACCCCACACTGTAAGTCCTACAGCATCAGGCTGGGCCATCCTCCAGGAATGACCCTTCCTCACTCCTCATCTAAATGTGGGAAGATGGGTGGAAAGATGCTTTGGAACATAAAGACTGTGGACTCCCCTGTGACCTTGGCCCAGCCGCAGAGCATGGTGAAGTCTCGGTTCCATCACCTGTATAACAGGGACAAGACTCCTGCCCTCAGAGGCGGTGTTGACCTGGTTTGAAAATGTGTGCACAGGGCTCTCCAGCTATTAGCTGGTGATTAAGCCCATGGCTGTGCCCCACTCCCATCTAGGGCTTGCCAGGGGTCCGGCTCCAGGCCAGTGCCAATCCCAGTCACAAGGTGAGTCTGAAGCAGAATACCCACCCCTCTGCAGCTGCAAACATCTTGTTTTGCCATCGGAAGTGACTGACTTAAGGGAAGCAGAATATTACAGGCACTTTACAGGCTGGTCTTGTTCATCATTTCCAAAGCCTGGGGAGAGTGGAAGCACACTCAGCCTCCTTCCCGTACCTTGGGGTGGAAGGGAAGGGAGATGTTCATTCTGTGCCATGGACGCTTTCTCCAGCACACCGAGCGGGATTTCCGCAGGGGGAAAAGCTGAGGGAGGCGGCCCTGGCTAGACACTGGTGGATCCTGCATCCAGTCCTCCTGGAACAACTAGGGAAGGGCTCCAAGGTGGGAGTACTGGGCCCACAGGAGAAAAGACAACCCCAGGACTGAAGGAGCTCTGGGCGGCCCTCACCCCAACTCTCCGGGTGGACAAGGGCCACACAGCACCCCGAGGGCTTGGGGGTTCCCGCGGACACAGCTTGGGAAGAGCCTGCAGAGTCGGGCAGCCGCGGAAGTGGGGGTGCTGGCTAGGGCGCCGAGCACAGCGCCGAGACTGAGCTGTCCCGCCGGTGAGCCCCTGGTGGGCTCGGAGCTCCGGACGGGGGCCCTCACGGAGTGGGGCTGAGCAGGTCAGGAATTGTGGTGGGAAGAGAGAGCGCCTCCCACTCCACCAGGAGGCGGCCGCTGAGCTCCTCTCTTACCCCACAGGGCCCATGGTGGCGCCGTTCCCTTCCTACCCGCCTCCCTCCTCAGTGGAATGAAGCAGTCGCGGCTCGGCAGAGGTTAGCACGCTTGTACTATGGTTTTAATAGACGTACATGGACAAGTCGATATAGACAGATTTATAATTCTATACAGTCAGTCCGACATACACAGGGACGCTGTAAACAGGGGCGCGGGCCGGAGAGCGGGTGTGCAAAGTGGGCGCGGCGAGGGGGGGGCCTGGCCGCGCCCCGAGCTCTCCCGGCTCGACTCTTGCACGGCGGGCGGCGAGGAGGGGGCTCTTCGCCGGGCCAAGGGGGGCACCTCCTAGCCCGGGAGCGTAGAGGGTCTGGGCCTGTGGCGAAACTTGGGCAGGGGCGCCCGGGGTGCTCGGAGACGAGCCCACCCCATTCTCCCGCCACGTCCGCACCGCCAGCTGGGGCTCCGTAGCCTTAAAATAGGACTCCGGTGCTCGGGGCTGCCGAGGGTTCTCGGGGCGCGCCGCGGCCGCGTGCGGCTCCACAGCGAGTCCCCGAACCCAGGCTGGGCGCCATCATCCCCGACCCAGCGCCCGCTCCAACTCGGATCCGAATCGAGCTAAGGTACGCTCGGCCGGGCCCAGCCTGGAGGGGGAGCCTCGGTTCGCATGGGGCCGGGGCCGGGGCCGGCCTGCGCGGGCTCCGCGCGTCCAGTTCGCAGGCGCGGCCGCTCCTCCCGGGGCCAGCGCGGTGGGCACGCGGGCTCCGAGGGCGTCCTCCTCGGCCCGCCGGCCTCCCGTGCCGCGCCCCCTCCGTGCGACGGCCCGCCCGGCCCGAGGGAGCGAACACACACCACCCGCGCCATCCCGAGGGAAATTGCAACTCATCCGTTTTTTCGCAGCACTTTTCTCCGACGTCTTTTTGTTTCGTTTCGTCTGGTTTGGGAGGGCAGAGCGGGGTCCAGAAAAAGCAAACACACAACCAGCCCGGAGGTGGGGAGGTGGGGAGGAGAGGGCTGCGCGGGCGCAGGGGCCGCGGCGTGCTAGGTCCTCCGCGCCGCCCCCGCCCCGGCCCGCCCCGGCCCGCCCCGGCCGCGGGCCCGCGGGGCCTGGCGGGCCGGTCAGCTGTTGTACTGGCACGCGTTGAGGCCCGAGGCCGGGCCCTGCAGGCCGCCGTAGCCGAACGACGAGTGCTGCTTGGACTTGAGCCGCAGGCTGGCCAGGCTCGAGTTGCACGTGTCCCGGTAGACGCTGTAGGGCGAGGCGGGCGTGCCGTACGGGCAGGCGCCCGGTGACATGGCCGAGTTAAGCGAGGAGCCGGTGAGGTTGTTGATGTTGTTGAGGCCCGAGTTGGGCATGCCGGGCACGGCGCCGGGGCCCATGCTGGACGGCATGGTCATGGAGGAGATGGAGCTGGGTGCCGAGAACATGGACTGCGAGGACAGCGGGCTCATGGAGTTGAAGAAGGTGAAGCTCTTGGTGGAGAGCGGCGCTGGCGCCAGGCTCTTGGCGGCCCAGTTGTTGTAGGAGTAGCCGGCGGCGTACACGTCCTCGTAGGGCTGCACCAGGCCGCTGAACTGCGGCACGTAGCCGCCCTTGCACAGGTCCAGCTGCTGGTTGCGCTCGCGCTTCCGCCACTTGGCTCGCCGGTTCTTGAACCAGACCTGGGGAGGGGGCAGGAGAAGGGTCAGGGCTGCCGAGGGCGGGAAGGCCCCTCCACCTCCACCCCCTCCGCCCCCTCCACCCCGAGCCCGCCGCCGCCGCTGCCTTCCCTCGGAAGAGCGTCTCCTTTCTTCGTGATTTCCGCCCCTGCGGGCCGCGCTCCTTAATGGTTCCTTTCCTGTCCCCAGAAAACATTTCGTCGTTCCCCTTTTCTGATCCATATCCACTCCCCCAAGTTAAATCTGATGTCTTCTCCTAATATGGGTCCATCCTCTTTTGTTTTAGCGAATATTCGTTTGCTTTCTTTCTCTCTCAACCAGTCCATCGGTCCCGCCTTCTCCCCTAAAGGGGTCCCGGTCTGTCTCCTAAATATTCCATTTTTTTCCTTCTCCCTCCCATACAAGAGGTATTTTTCTTCCCTGAAATAGAGATCTTCTGACTCCCTTTATTCTATTATTTCATTCCTCAAATAGTCCGTATCCATATTTACTGGGAATCTTTGATATTCTCATTTCTGCCCCCAGTGTTTATTTTCTTTTGGTCCACCCCGCTCTCTGAACTGCTTTCTTTTCCCTCAGTCCATTTTCTCCGTTATCCCTCATTTTTGATCCTTTTGATTCTCCCAATATTTAGTTTCCCCTTTCTTCCCAAATATCTGACCATCACTGTTTCTCTTAAATAGTTGATTCTTTATTTTTCTCAAATATTTGATCCTTTCGCCCTTAAATATTTTATTTTTCCTGCCACCTAAATATATGCCAAATATGTTTGTCTGCAAATATTTAATTTCCTTTCACTTCTTACTAGTTTCTCTCTAATCTCCCCTCCACTTTCTCCCACAAAATTTAGTAAGAACCTGTTCTTTCCCAACTCCTGGTCCTTGCCCATCCTCTCCTATCCTCCTACTGTATGCCTTCTCTCCTCCGAAGCCCTCCTCCAGCCCTGGGCTGACTTTCCTGAGCTAGCTGCCGACCCCCACATCTCAGCCCTTTCCAATCCCCGGCACTGACATTGCCTGATTCCACCCCCACACCACCCCTACCACCATAAACCTGGGCAGGATTAGTGAGTTCTGGATTACTGAGTGTTGTCTTCACTTGAGTCCCACTGGTCTGGCCAGCCTGACGGGAGGGGCAAGAGCTTGGGTTATAGGAGGGAGTCACCAGGCCAGGTAGCACTTTGGGCTGGCTTGGGACGTCCTCCCAGTATCTGATTAAATATTTGCGTACTCAGAAATGATTCTCTTGCTGCTCTGGCAAGAGAACCTCTATGCTCTTGTCTTTACTGGGAACCAAAGGGCAAGGAGAGGGAGGGTGCAGTCTGGTCACGGGTCAGAGATCTTACATCTCCAAAGGGACTCGGCCTGAGGGTCACTCTTCCACCAGAGCTGCTCCTCCTTCACCTGACCCCAGCCTTACAGGAAGGGGCAACAGGGAAAGGGTCCAGCTACTCACTGGCTGACCGGCTGGAGACGAGTCAGGTGGGGACTACGCGGAGGTTCTGGAGAAGCAGGCTGTGGTTGGGATCACTGCCCCAGGAGGTTCTGAGCCTCCAAGCCTAGGTACCCTTCAGGCCTCTGCCAGGTGGCCAGGCAAGGCCTGCCTTTCCCTTTCATTTTCGGGGGGAAGTCGCCAGCAGCTCCGAGGTCCCCATAGGCGGGAATCCTCTGTGCAGTCTAAGGCGGTAACATCTGAGTGGGCCCTGGGCCCTGCAGTGCAGGGGAAATCCCCCTGGGGCCACAGATCTTGGGGTGAAGCTGCAGTAGAGCCCGAGGGTCAGGTAGGATACCAGGCGGCAGCAGCCCAGGGGCACCATCCACCCAAGGGCTTAGCAGCAGCCGGGGACACGGGGCCTAAAGTGGAATCTTCAATGGCGGAGGGAGGGAGCAGGTCTGAGTGGCGGGACAGAGACAAAGTCTGCGCGCGAGGACTGCGGCGGAGGTGGCCAGCAGCCCTGGGCGCGGGTCGCCTTTTAGGCGTGCACGCTGCGCTCACCCTCACGCGCGGCTCGGTGAGGTTGGTCCACACAGCGATCTCCTCCCGCATGCTCATGTCGGGGTAGCGGTTCCTCTGGAACGTGGCCTCCAGCTCTTGCAACTGCTGGCTTGTGAAGTGCGTGCGTTGCCGCCGCTGCTTCTTTTTCTTGGCCGGGTCCTCCCCGCCGCCGCAGCCTGCGCCTCCCGCGCTGCTGTCCTCCGGCCCCTTGACTTCGCCGCTGCGCTCCTTCTCTGAATCGGGCAGGACAGGCCCCAGTCACCTTGGGCTTATGCCCGTTTGCACCCCGTCCCGCCTCCACCGAAGCGCCTGCCATCAGCGCTGGCGGCCCTTCTTCCCGCTAGGGGCCCTAGAACTGTCCCCACTGGAAAGAGCCTGCTGGCTGCCTGATCGTCTGTAGTCACCTTTGGTCGGTCGTGCCCCGAAGAGCCCAGGAACCGGAGGCACAGGCCTAGGGTCCTGGCTGGGCAGAGCCTGCTCTTGCAGCTGGGCTCAGGCTCAAGCCGGACTGCCTGTGTCACCCGCAAATGTATGAAATTTTGAGGTTTTTTTGGGGTCTAAATCTGGGGGGGTCTCTCTGCTTTTCTGAACTAGGATCAAATCTTTCCAGCCTGAAGCTAGTGGGTCGGGGGAGCAGGGGCTGTGGCCTGCAGCCCCCCTCCGCCCCCGGACTCTCTTCTCCCCAGGGCTGTGTGGGAGCCACACTGGGCAGGCACAACACAGCTGTGTTCTCGGCCTCTGCTCCAAGCCTCAAGTCCAGAGGCCCAGAAAATCCCTCAGGTGGCAGCCCAGACCGACAGACTCTGTCTAGGTGACCTGGGGCTCTAGCCTCTCACTCTTTCAAGCTACGCAAAACACATTTAGTCACAGACACACTGAAACAAAAAGACAAAATTTAAAAACAAAACATAGAAGCCCATATAAACGCAATTCTATCCTAACACCATGGAAAGGCTCACAAACTCTTAAAAATAGGCAGGTAGGAACACAGAGCAAATTCGAATTAAGAAGGCAAAAACCTCCGTGAAAACACACCCCTAACTAAATCCAGTGCTGTACGGGTATAAACTCCAGGCGCGCACACACACATTTATTTCTCTGGGATTTAAATAAAAACAAACTTAATGTACTGTTGTAGATAGATTTTTTTAACCCCTGCCTAATAATGCCCTTTCTAGAGATAATTTTTAAGTACCGGAGAAATACAGCACTATAATTAGATAAATTATCAAATTAACCCCGCTGCAAATGGATTTTGAAAAAAAAAAAAAAAAAATCCCGGAGAAACGCGCCATTTTGGATTGACTTTTAAAAAATCTCCCCAAGAATAATGTTGCATGTAGAGATTTTAAATTCCAGAGAAGCATGTCTAGTGTAGTAATTCTTTTTATATCGAAAATTACAGTTAACATTTTAAATATGTCCTCATAGATTCGGTTTTAAAAAGCAATCTACCGCTGCATATTTCTCTGGGTTTTAAAAGTAAAAACCAACCAAAGGCCACGCTTAAAACTTTTGGAAAACAAAAGTACAGTTCAGCGTTGTTTTTTAGCCAAGCAAACAGACCCTCTCAGAGAAAAGTCACTTAGGGATGCAAAACAGAAACAAATAGAGATTAAAAACGCATAGAGAAACACTCAGCGGTGGATTAAGAAATGAACGCTGCAGAGGCGCCCGCGGCCCGGGGAGCAGGGAGCTCTGCCGCAGCGCCGAGTTGGGACGGCGAGCGCGCGAGCCAAACCGAGACCCCGGCGGCTCGGCCGGGCCGAGGATTAGCCGCGCTGCTGCCCGCACCGCCCCGCCGGCCCAGCTCGCCGCCAGCCTGGGGAAAAAAGCTTGAGCTCGGACAAAAAGGCAGCGCCGAGGGAGACGTGCCCGAGCCGAGTCAGGGCCCTGGCTGGCGGCCTGGCGGCTCCCGGGCCCCGCGGCGCACGTGGGGCCGGGCTCCCTCAATGAGGGGCTCCTGCCCGGAGCCGAGCCGCACCCCTTGGCCCGTTCGCCCTCGCTGTCCTCTGCCTTCTTTTTACTTGAGGTTGTCCACCCCCCCGCCCCAGTTTGTTTTCTGACTTTTCCCGCCACCCCTTCTCTTCGATTTCTCCCTCTCGATCTGTCGCCCACTGCCTGTCCGGGTGTGTGCCCCCATCTCTGTCTCTCTGGGCGCTTTCTCTCACCCGCCGCCCCATTCCTTTCTCGATCTACTCCTCTCCTGCGGTCTGAGCGGCCCCTGGGCACCCAGTTGCGCAAACCGAATTTTATTTCCCTGTTCTCTTTGCTTCTGAACAAGAGGGGCTGTCAGTCCGACCCTCCCGTTGTAGGTGTGTGCATCTGCCGGTCTCTTGGCGCGTGGGGACCGGGTGGAAGTAAAGCTCTGAATTTCGTTTTATAAAGCGTGTAAATTTCCGCGTTCACCCTCAGTCCGAGAACGAGAAAAGAAAAGGTCCTGACGCTCCTGGGTGTAGAGGGAGCCCGACTACGCGGCGCGCGCTCCAGGCCCTGCTCCCCGCTCCGTGCGCCCGGCTCGGCTCGGTGCGCGCCTCGCGGGGAGCCGCGCTTACCTGGCAGCTCCGTGTCGGACGACTCGCTGGCGGAGTTCTCGAGCGGCTCGCGGGGGTCGGCGGCGCGGGCCAGGTGGAAGGCAGGCCCCATGTCGTGCGGCGGCGGCGGCGGCCGGAGTCCCTCCGGTAGCCGCTCCAGGCTCATGCCCCCCTTGAAGGCGTCCATGGAGGCGGGGACCGCGGCGGGCGCTCCAGGGGCCGGGGCTGGGCGCGCCCGGCCGCCCTGGCTGCGACCTGCGGGGACAAGAGGACGGCGCCTAAGCGGCTGCCCCCCAGGGCTGCCCGCGCCCGCAACGACGCCGCGCCTGCCCCATGGACCGCCCGGGGCTGCGGGGCCAGGCGGGCGGCAGCGGCAGCGGTTTCTCGCGACCGGATGCCCGGCTTCGCGCTCCGCGCTGCGCTCCCGCCGCTCGGGCCTCTGCCGCCCGCCCGGCCCCGGCTTCGGCTCCCGATCCGGGGCCGGTTTCTAAGGCTCCGGACGGCGCCGGCAGAGGCTGTCTTAAAGCGACAGCGCGCACCGCCAGGTTCCAGCAGTCCCTGCGCCAGGGGTGGTGGGTGGGGTGGGCCTGGGTGGGAGGGGGCTGGGGAGGGAGGGAGCCAGAGAGCGAGGGAGCGCGGGCGGAATCCAGCCCCGAGCCGCCCGCCCTCCCGAGCCGGTGCCCTCCCCCTCTGCAGCCACCTTCCCGCCGCCTCCCCGCCCCTCCCCCGCCCCCCCCGCGGCCTCGCCGCGCCTATCCCTCCTTCCCCGTTGACACACCGACTTCGAGAACCTCGGCCGCACAAAAGAAACGCATCTGGCCTCCAAGTCCCGCGTGGCTCGTGCCCACCTCAAGCCCCAAATGACTTGTTTTGCTCAGAATCAACTCCTGTCTGGGCCGCCTCGAAGTCCCCAGCCCCCCGGCGAGAACAGCCCAGGATGAGAGAATGTTCCCTGAGCAGGATCGCACGGAGCGGGCGCCTCTGAGCCAGCGCCAGGGCGGGGGCAGAGCCCGGGGCCCGTTCCGGCAGCTCCCAGCGGCGTCCCCGTCGAGGGGCCGCCGGCCCTTCCTTGCTCGGCCTCTTCTCCCGGGACCTGAGCCCGGCCGAGTGACAGCAGCCTGCGTTCTAATGGGCCCCCGGATGCTGCCTCCTAACTAGCTTGGACCCTGTCTGTCCTTCAAGGCTGCTTCTCTGGCCTCCCCCTCTGCACCGCAGTCAATTTTCCGGGATTGGGATAGAACTGATGGCTTCTAATCAGACGAAATGTTTCTGTTGGCTCCAGGCCTCTGGCGAGTGCAGCGGGAGACCCCAAGAGCCCCGCCAGGCCCCACAGCCTCTTCTGTAGGGCTCTTTCCCCTTGTTTTGTGCCAGTCCGGCCAAATCAGCCAGGCCTGGGCCTTGGCAGCCAGGGGGTTGGCTTCTGCCCCCTTCAGGGCAGGTTTGCAGCCATCTGGGGCCTCTGCTGTGGCTTCCCAGAGCTGCAGGCACCTGGCCTCCATGCAAGGCCAGGTGCCTGAAGTTTCCCAGCCCTGGGTCGCCAGGCCAGGAAGCCGACCGCCTTTGAGGCTCTCTCTCATACAGAGGTAGCTGAGCTTAGCTCACTGGGGCCTCCATGGGGGCAGGCACGGCCGATCCCCTCCCCACCGCTAAGAATGATCCCCTTCTGGAGTCCTCCTACTTCAGTGAAGTTTGTTGAAGGATTTTGCTGAACAATTGTTAACCGGCCCTGAGACCTCAGAGTCTCGAGCAAATAGAGGGCGGCTAGGGTGGGAGGGTGCAACCCTGACCTGTTCCTCTGGCCACAGCTGGACCCCAGGCTGCCCTCTGCCCGTCATCTGCTGACCAACTCCACCAGATAGGAGCAGCGCTGGGCAGGGCAACAACCCGGTGAAGCACTGCCTTACTCTCCAGGCCCTGCGCCTCACCCCAGGGCCCGGTGCATCCCCCCATCTCTTCCTGGGGATCCCTGCTTGGGACTGACTGTACAGACTGTGAGGATCTGGGATGTTCTGCAGGCACTGCCTTCCAGCCCTCACCCTGGCTCCTCATCAGAAGGAGACCCACAGCCTCAGGCTGAGTTGTTTGGTGAGGATTGCAGGGGTCAGGTGGGTACAGGGTGGAAACAGGCCTGCCTCTCACTCCCTCAGCCTTAGCCCGAGGCCCCCAGCTCTGGGCCCTGCGAGAAAGCACAGCTCCTTAGGGCTGGCACACCTCTCTCTGGGTGCCTGTGACCGCAGGGGCAGGGTCTGGGTCTGAGGTCAGAGAGAGGATGTACCTCAGGGATTTGGGTTGGGGAGGCTCAGCAACTCCTGCCCTTTTCTCCCAGAGGGGAGTTTCTCTAAGTTGAGACCCCATACGATGAAAATAGTCTTGGGTGTGTGTGTGTTGGGGGGGGAGGATGGCAGGAGGGGGACCTGGGAAGGATGGTTGCCCAGCATTTGCCCTCAGCCCCATCTTTTACCACATTTCTTGGTTGCGTCTCCTGCAGCAGCAGGTAACTCTTTTCAAGCACAGCGTGCGACCCAGCCTGCCCGGGCACTGGCAAGGACTCGGGAGCATGCACACACACATCTGGCGCATTACATAGGTGTGCTGCACACACAGACACACGCGTACTCACCACACCCACCCATGGGGTGCCGTGTATAGTCACAAGGGTGCACCCACAGCCAGGCCTCTGGGTCCCAGAACACTGCTCAGCACCAAATCGGGCTGGGAGGGGACAGGAGGTGTGTTCTAAGCCTGCCAGTTGCCAGGCCGAGGTGGGAAGCACAGGGCCCTCCTGGGTGGTGACATGGAATGGATGGCGCACGGATAGGCATCCAGAGGCTGAGAGCCCTAGCCTTCCACTGTCCACGGGGCGCAAAGAGCCACATCTTCCACGGACAGAGACCGTTCTGTGACTCTGCAGCTCTAGCTGGTCCGTCTGAGGGGTTCACCTCCCTCACCGTTGATGCACTGAATGCAGTTATTGAGCACCTGCTGTGTGCTCCTCTGGACCCAAGCCTCTGGCAGTGTTCTAGGGAGTCACAGTAGTCCCTCTATTTGGAAATCCTAATGCCTGCTGTTGGATGGACGGGAAGGCCCTCAGACTATTGCGGATGAAGCTCCATGTCCCCAGGGGCTCGGAGCCCTAGAGAGGGGCAGAGACTAGTAGGGACTGTCCAAGGGAGTCTGTTCTGCTGCCGATCCCCCCGCCCCTGGGCAGTGCTGAATGAGCAGGGGTTGAGGAAGGGGGGATTGACCGTGAGGACACCCTGGCCTGCTAGGGTGTTGGCTGGAGAACGGACATGGGCACTTTCTCTTCTTCCCCAGCCTCACCCTCTGCTGGGCCCTATCCCAGGCAGGGAAGGGGCTTCGAGCACACTCACAGCCACACATCACACACACAGGACAGGACGCAGCTCTCTTTCAGGAGTAAAAGCAGGGGCTCAGTGTTCTCCCCGCTTTGCCGTCTGACCTTGGGCAAGGCTTGGCCTGCACTGTGCCCCAGTTTCCATGTCTGACACGGGACTCAGCAATTCCTACCTGCTGCTTCAGCTTCCATCTCACTTGGCAGATGGGAACGGGGGAGAGGAGGGAAGGGGGCTTATAGGAGCTGGAACCATGCGCCCTATTCCCCATCCCTCCAGGCCACGCAGAGCTAGCAATGATTCTATGACTTTCAGGAAATTTGGAGGCTTAGAGTCCTGGCTGGGTTGAGCAGAGGAGGCTAGGCTGTTGTGGGGTTTGAAGTAGTCACCATAGGGACCTTTCCTGAGGCTGGGCTCGCTCAAAACAGATTCTGTGCCCAAGAATGGTTTAGCAATTTTATTTGGGAAGAGTGGTTGGAGGGCCCTCATGGAGGGCATCCTTCCACACACTGATGGGGGGGGGGGGTACCGTGCGCTAATCTTTGCACTAGAATCAAGGGATTTTAGGAAAAGGGAAGGAATGTGCCGCGGCTTGCCCTCGAGGCCATCCATGACTCTGTGGGACATTCCAGCCCTAAGCCTCTTAGGCCGTGGAGAAGTTCAAACTAGAAAACCCAGTTTTGGGAGTGCATCTGGGACCACCTACCTCCTTCTGTCTGCTCTACCCGCCCCCCCCCATAAAAGCTCTTGTTTCTTTGAATACAAGCAATGACTGGGTGAAGGGGGAAAGGGGTGCTCAGGTAGGGGCTGGGAACCTTCTCACTGGATTCTCTAGGCTTCCAAGGACCCTAGCCTGAGCTTTCCTGTTATCTGGGCTTCCCCAGCTTGTCCTGGTGTGGAGACCTGGGATGTACTCAGGCAGGATGGCCGAGTAGGGTGCCTATGGGAGCATGGAACTCCGGACTCTGGCAGAAGCTGGCAGGGCTGGCCTCATGGCTCCCCCAAGTCCACTCCCTGGTCGTTCTCTGGTTCCTGAGAATGGCTGAGCCGAGGGGCTGAGAAGGCTGGGCAAGTGGCAGGGGCTGGTCGCACAACTGGGGAGCAGAGGGCCAGCTTATGCCGTCACCACAGCCTCCCCTTCCCAGGAGCTACTTTCTTGAGCGAAGGGCACACCCCAGAGTCCTGGCAGCCAGGTCTCCATGCCCCCGTCCACCTCTTTTCCTTTTCTGAGCAGAGATGAAGAGTTCCAAGCAGAATGAGCAAAGGGGAGGGAGCCGGCCAGTCCCCCTCCCGTGCTGCCTCTGCAGCCTGTAGCTTTAGCCACTACCCTAGACCTGTGTCTTTGGCCAAGTGGACAGCAACCTGGGATTGCCTTCCTCTGGCCCTGATGGCTCCAGAGGCCACTGGGATGCCAACAGAATACCCAAGCCTTAGATTCCCAGAAAAGTGGGCTCAAATATTTTTAGATTCAGGGAATTCCTTCCTAAATCAGAACACCTTGGAACCAGGATTCCAGCCTGGGGTTCCCATTTCTGCCATCCTGGCCTCGGGGCCCTCGCTTGACCACCTCCGAAACGGCTCAGATTTAGGAGGCTGGTCAATTTCAGAATTCCAAGACCCGGTTCTAGAGAAGCGGCCGTGTGCTCGGGAACCCTGCGTCAACAACCAAACCCCGGAGAAGCCGCGGGAATGTCTTTATTGGAGTTTGCGAAGAGCATTTGGGGTTTCTGTCTGGGTAAGGAAAAGCCCGACCCTTGCGGGCGAGGGCAGGCCGCCGTGGGCTGGGGGCGCCTCGGAGCACGGCGGCGGGGCGTCGGTGTCCTCGGCGAAGAGAGCCGGGGCTCCGGCCGATGTCTGTTGCTTTTTGCGGCATAGCTGCCCGAAGGAACCAACGAACCAACGAATGAAGCGGTATCGTTTAGAAAAAATACCCTCTTGACGCGAAGCTGCGGCTGAAGTCCCGGGCGTGCAGAGGGGCCAGCGGCTTCGCTCGTCCTGGGGCCCCCATTCCGCGGCGCATCGGGAAGCGGCGGGCGCCCCTCTTGCCTGCCCTTTCTCCTACAGGTCCCCAGAGGCCTGCGCCTCCTCGAGGGGCTGCGAAGGGCGTCCAGGGCTGTGCCCTTCGCAGGGCTGGGGCCCGCGGCC